AACACCACAAAAGTGTAAAAAGAGGCCTGGTCGCAAATGTACAACATCGCAAAAACAGTCCAAAACGGCAAAACAAACAGGCAGTAACAATAAACCATTTCATCCTGTATCTGTGGCAGTGCAGGGTACAAAAGTGACTATGGTGGATATGTCCCATGATCAAGAGGCCTGCAGAGCTGTACCAGACATCGAAGTCAAGCCCAGTAAAATGAGATATTTTTCCATGGAGGCTAGTTCATTCAGGCTACCATCTTTCACATAGATACAGAGCCTGCGTAAGACAATACCCATGATTTAGGCTTTTTCTTAGCCGGATTTGGGAAGCAGAGGCTTGAGCAGACGGAATGGCTGCAGACTGTATTTCAAACAGGTTTGATGCAAACTTTGCTGGAACAAATTTAGGAAAGTTTGTTTTGTTTGTTTTTTGTTGTTGCAATTCCAACAATCAGTTTAGCACAGGAAAAGTTCTGCCCGAGCAGAAAACAGACTATACCTTTAAGAAACGGAGATCAGGTGAAACATGTTGAAGTGGAGATAAGGTTAATTGCAACAGTTTCAGAGATTTGTCTACAGTACTTACTAAAGCCTACTTGCTCTAAGAAACTCACTGCAGCTGGGATTCTGGCATTTAACGGATCCATCCGCTACAAAAGTATCAATCTGGACACAATCAGCCTCTATAAGGATATAATCCAGCAGTTAAGCCTCCAATTGCCATATGGGTCTTGCTGCCTGTGAAGGAGTGGTAATATATTCCACAGGAACACTTTTTTTATTTTTTTTTAATATCACTGACTGTTGCATCAGTTAGTTATTATTTATACTGTGTTAGCTATTTATAGCAATAGTTAGGAATACTTGTGTTTTAAACAAATTTTGATTAATACAATATTATATATATCTTGCACACCATTGGGGAAGTGTGCATAGACATATAGGCTCTGCACAAAATTGCTAATATCTGTATAAGAACCCATTAGAATCTACTATGGGACCGATCTAATAAGTGCTTACACTTTCAATGCACTATTAGCTAATAAATTATAGTTTTACCATTATTCTTCGTATTATCTGCTTTTTTGTTTAACAATTTTAACTGGGTTGGGAATATGCAGCACAGATTAAATGAATTACAATTCAGGCTAGACTCATTTGAGATTAAAGCAAAAAGTCTTACCTTAAATGGCCTCAAAGTGTGTTGGAGGGAAGGTGAGAACACTCTTGCAACAGATTCTGAGTGCACCTGGCAAACAGTTGCTGCTGGGTAAAAAGCCTCTCAAAGTCCTGGAAACCAAAATATTGAAGCAGGGAGAAAAAAAATAAAAATGCATGCCGCGATTCCACAGTGGAAAGAATCGCAACCTGTACGTATGTTCCACCAAACGGGAGATGCATACATCCGGCGTGATTATCCCTGGCAGATCTCGGAGAAAAAAAATAAATAAAAAAAGGCTGAGCCTCAGCCCTCTCACCTTACTCCTGCGGAAAAACCTCACACCCTCCTCTGCCGCAGGCAAAGAACCGGGGCTGTCTTAGGTAAGAGGCACTTTATAGTGCCAACGGTTAATTGGGGGGAGGTTCTTGAAAATTGCCTGCCTGTTTTTCCCTCCAGATTACCAAAAAAAAAAAATTAAAAATTAAAAAAATCATTTCACAAACACCCCAAAAGTACCTTAAACCTACATAAAACCTCACAAAAGTTACATCCCCTGATAGCCACAAATCACCCAGATCGGTTCAGGAATTTCCTGGAAGTCATAACTTGACCGACGGCACGCATGGTCCAATGCTCAAAACCGTTCCAGAGAATTAGGGCTTGTGGTCGGTCTAGTTTGGTATTCGTACCCTGGAGCTTGTTCCCCTTGTTCGTGGGAAAGTTTCCACCGAACAGTGTCATTCTAAGTGTTGTAGAACTAAATGCAGGCGATCACGGAAGTCCAGTGGTGTTCAGGAGTTTGTGTCTGATAATAGTTCCATGAACTCGACAACCAAACACTGCTGCCTGTGTTCATGCGAACAAGATGGCCGCCACCTTATGGTCATCCATAGGAATTGCTGCCACCCAAACACTGCAGTATAAAGTACAATGTAGCAAATACGCTTAACAAGCTCCAGGATGGTCTCCGTTTGTGCAGTGTTTGGTTCTCGAACCATAGTCCAAATACATGAACACATCACATTTTACAGGGTCCATAGCCTGTGGGCAGGAGACTGGCAAGCAGGCTCCTCCAGAAACTCATGGAAACTCACTTGGAAAGGGGAGTTTGTAAAAAAACATGCTGGCCAAATACATTGTCCAACTCTAGCAATACAGTATACATCAATATATACTTTTAAGTCTGTCTCTTAGGTAGCGGAGAACACACAATGGATTTTGCATATCATATGGCTTAAGCACCAAACCAGTGATTTAAAAGGAAGTTGATTAGCATCTATATTCATACCAAAGATCCAAGTACCCTTTGCCTGAAAATTTACATACAAGGTTCCGAGTAAGACTGTGCTCCCACGCAAAAAACAAGCAAGCCGAAGAGGTCCAAAAGCATACTTATGAACTTGAGATGTACTGTAACTTAGCCAGAAGTTAGTCAAACCTAATTTAGTAGATTAGTCAGCTATATTGTGAACTGTATCCCAAAACGTAGGAAAAAAATTCTCTAACCTATAAAAAGTCAAAGACCAAATCTGATCGGTTGAGGAATATAGGAGTTGCAGTTTTGGCATTTATTGAAGTAGCCAATTTCTGGCAACTTCATGGCTCTAGATGAAAACTGTTGTAGATGACAAAGTTGATCAAATACTACATTTAGATTTAAGTACTAAATATCTAGCTCAGCTAACAGTGGCCAAAATGTACTAAACCAAATCCGTAGCACTGCTATGAGCCAAAGTGAATATGTAGCGTAACCAAGTCTACAATGTTAAAGAGATGGTAGGTTTGACAACAGATCAGGCTTCCTACTCAAATGGATTCTCCATGGATGCCAAGAAGTCATCCCAACATGGATAGCCCATGAACGAGAAGTTGTGCTGTAATCTAGCTAGTTAATTGTCAGGAGGTATTCTAGGCTGGCAAGTCTATTTCACTCCTGGTAGTGTGAAAATGAACTCCAGGCACACACACGCCCTCAATGCATTGGTTAGATTTTGACCCAATATTCATGCGGTTCTCTATAGTCTTAATTGGCATGTAATTGTAAAATTTCTGCTAAAAATTACGCATTAGTAGGTTTGTCACTTCTACACATCTGAAGCCATGTGAAAGTCATTTTAATTTTGTCTGTTGGAAATGACTGAGCCAGAACATATGCATGTGTTGCTTGCAGCCATTGAAAACCAGACCAACACAGGTAACTGCACTACCGTTAGAGAAATTTTTGCTAGGTTTGAATAGAATTAGATACAGCAGCCAGATTTCAGCCTTTCCCTACTGCAGCAGGCATAATGCATTTGATACTCAAACATGGCTGGATGAGCATCACTGATCATAGGCTATGAAGATGCAGTGAGGTTTGGACTGTACCCGATACACATCCAGGATGTAGACCAATCATGTCAAACTTGTGGCCTAGCAAGCACATGCTTACTGTTAAGCCAGTATAGGCACCTGCTCTCCCCACATTGCCGATGCCTACTCTGCTCAAATATACCAGGCCGGGTGGAGAGGAAGGAGGAAACTGGTGGCAGCAAGCAGTGTTTTTCATACTCTTCACAGGCACCCTCAGGTGATGCTGGAATATGTAGTCATTCCAGCATGGCATCACTAAACTGTAAGGGAGCAGCAAGGGAAGGCCTCCACAAAGAAGAGCCCACACCAGCTCCCAAAGGTAGGGAGCAAGCAGCAATAAGTGTGGGGGGAGGAAGGGGGAGAGACTGTAAGCGAGTGTTTCACAGTCAGTGAAGTACCTGGAGGCATGCCACTTCACATTCCGATGCAACGTCAACATGCTCCACCTTCACATGGTTTCCAGGAGTAGCGGGAAGATCCTCTTTGGCACTTTTCAAGCTAAACCTATATTGCTACGAATAAAAGTTTTTTGTGGCCCACAATCTTAATCCTGGTTTTTTTTTAGCCCATGCTAGCCTTTGGCATGCTTGATGTAGACTACCCAGCTATGACCATCACATTAAAGGACCACTCTAGGCACCTAGACCACTTCAGCTCAATGAAGTTGTCTGGGTGCCAGGTCCAGCTAGGGTTAACCCATTTTTTCATAAACATAGCAGTTTCAGAGAAACTGCTATGTTTATGAATGGGTTAAGCCTTCCCCCTAATCCTCTAGTGGCCGTCTCATTGACAGCCACTAGATGCGCTTGCGTGCTTCTCACTGATTTACAGTGAGAGCACGCAAGCGTCCATAGGAAAGCATTATGAATGCTTTCCTATGTGACCAGCTGAATGCGCGCAGCTCGTGCATTCAGCCGACGGGGGAGGAGAGCTCTCCGCCCAGCGCTGGAAAAAAGTTTAACCCCTTTCCAGAGCCGGGCGGGAGGGGGTCCCTGAGGGTGGGGGCACCCTCAGGGTACTATAGTGCCTGGGAAACGAGTGTTTCCTGGCACTATAGTGGTCCTTTAATGTGAATTACTCATTCAATGCACAGATGACAGGGTCCTCCAGATAGGGATAGGTCAATTGCATACACTGCTCTGATTAATACTGTTCATCAAATTGACTCAATCCAAGAAAAATCCTCCCCTTGAAGTGTTACTTGAAAAGTTAGATTGCGATACACAATGTGTAGTTTACAGCACTATACATATGATCACCCAAAATTGTCAGTTAAACTACACTTTTGCTAGTGAATGCTCAAGATTTTATTAAACAGGTGTCTTCAGCTTCAATATGAATTAGCTGCTTAACCTTATAGCTCATTCAAGCTGCAACTATTGTCAACAAGGCAACACCTTGCCAAATACAATTCCAATAGTCCACCCATTACAGCTACATGTTATCATGCAAGATGATAGCCACATGGCACAAGCAAGACAGACATCCTTAAGCCACAATTTTTAAATCTCATCTTTATTTTTCTTTTACAAAAAGGACGCAACAAAAATTCAGAAAATACATTTATATACAAAAAACAGTGATCAAGTGAATTGGTCATGCAGAACTCTCCACAGCTGCTGTTTCCATGGGTATCTGTCCAGCCTGTAGTGGAAATAAGGTTCTTAAGGTTAAGGAGTGCAACCCATTCAGGTTAGGTCAGATACAGGCTAACCTATAACAATTAACACCTTTGTGAAGCAGAGAATGCGAGGAGATTTATCAGATGACCAGTTACTTGCTAGTCACCATTAAGTAGGCCTGGTCTAGTTTTTGCAGATTAGGACTCCACAGCTGAACTGTAAGGAATCTGATTAACTGGTTAAACATTTCAGGATAATGCTATTAAGCAGGATTCTCACCCTTTAGGGAAAGTGGTCTTGGACCTTACGCTGAAGAGTCAAAAGGAATGCTACCACAGGTACATGCCAAGGTCTATTTACTAAACTGAAATTAATGGCAGCTAGACCACCATATTTAAGACAAAATGTGGTCTACATAGTAAAGTCATTTTGACAATGAAATGCACCTTGTCAGCTCTCCAGTTTTAAAGGCATGTTTCCAACAACCCAAGACAATTTAGTTTGCTGCAGACTTGAACCCACCAATGATTTTCCAGGACCTGAGTAGACAGGTAACCTGTAGAATCCTACCTCTTCAGCTTTCTCTGCTTCTTCATTTGTAGGTACTACTGCATCTTCACTCCCATCTCCATTTTCAACCAGATCTGGTTTAGCTTTCTTTGCTTCACTGTCTTTTAGTGGACTTTCCTCTTCAGGTTTTCTCTTGAGGACAAAGCCACAAGTTAAGGTATTATATTACCAATTTAATCACTGCCTTAGTGGCCTTTACTAATTTTTTTAAAATGTAGAAGCAGGGAGAAGGTTTACAATTTACAGGTACCTTTTTCCTCACAAGATGAGAAATATCAGACACACAGTTTTGAACAGGTACAGTGCAGTCACCGCTATTTTTGTCCGTGGAGGTCTGAAAAAGGGAAGAGTAATCAAATATACAAAAGAAATTCTAGTACTTTTAATATAGTTACACAATTACAAGAGCCACACTTGTAGCATTAGCAAAACCATTACCAACAGGCAAGAATACCCATGGATTTTTACAGGTCTATGAACTACAAGTTGCTGGTGTGTTTTCTCCCCCTGCTAACATCCCCCCCTGCCCCAATCAAAGTAGTAAGTTATGAACGTACTGAAGTGCTTCCATTCTCTTTAGAAGAAAATCCTGAAGAACCTCCAGCCTAGAGGAAAGAATGAATAATTGTTACTTTTTAAAGAGAGAGGGGCTCCCAGTGACTTTTTTTGGGCAGTGATGAACCATTACTGACCAGTGTCTCTTTAAGGGCAATTTCTGTTGCTATAGCAGTTTTCTGAGCTTCCTTTGAGTCTTCAATCTTTTCTTTGATATCAGGGAGCAGGTTTTTCAACTCTTCAATTTCTTTCTGAATTTCAGCATCTGGCTCTGTGGCTGCTTCCATTTTCCCTGAGAGCACAGCTAGTGGAATAAATAGAGCTTGAAGTTAACCAAGTTTTTTTAAAAGGCTGTTTGTGGTTTGTAAGGCTTAAAGACAGCAGTGACATGTTTGAATTTTCCACGAGAGTATCCTGAGATTGTCAGTCACAGCACAAACTAGTTTCTCATGTTAATTTGACATTTCTAGACTGCACGACAGCAATGCAAGTAGGAGTTTGTATTCAGTTGGTCTAGTACTATGCATACTATATACAAAGGATGATTAAATTCTTGATCACTTATATGCCACGCAAGACAGTTTCAGACACATTGTTAGTCTCTTATTAACTAGAAACAAAGGCAATCATAGCTACATGGGTCAGAAAATACTGTTTGAGTAACATAGTACTTACTTATTCTTCCTGCAATGACATTGATTGATTTATTGAAGTGTGATATTGCATCCTCATGTTTGCAGTTGTACTGATAAGCCAAACCTAGCTGGTAGTGAGTTTCTGCAAGGAGGCGGTCATGAGCTTCAAGGTGCTCTTGCTGTATCGTCAGACAGGCCAAGAAGTCTTCTACTGCCTGGGAGTAGTTTTCTAGATACAGCAGAATATTGTGATGTAAAAGTCTTAGCAAGATAGTATGACACACCTAGGTTCTTCTGGGCCCACTAACTGATGCCATTAAAGTATACTATACATACACTTACCTGACTCAACACTAACTTCTCCGAGTTTCAGATGTGCTTGTGCGGCTTTTAACTGAGCTTCTTTAGTTTCTTTCCTGTTAGAAGTGAGAATTTATAGATAAATGGTCAGAAGTGTAGCTTCTATAGCTATCAATCTGCAGATACAATGACAGTTTGCCACATTTTGACTTTTAATGCCATGATCATGCTGGTTGAGTAATGGTAAGTTACCATCTTCCCCCTGCACTTCCAGGCTACTGCACAAAGCAGAACGGTCACCAGTGGTCTTTGCAAGATATGCAGAGACCAAAGAAGGGGAGAGCTGCTTTGTGCAGCTAATAAGTTGTAGCACAGCAGCCTTTGAAGGGCATGCATCGAAATACAATGCTCCACTCATTTAATGAGTGGGTTTGATTGAGTTGCAAATGCAAGACAGATCGGACACTATACACCAAGCCTTTAAAGGACCAGACTGATTCTTAAAGTGACATGATAGGCCTCCATACCACTTCAGCCAACTATTGATTTGGATGCACTGTCCCTATAAGACTTTGTGCTGCAATGTAAAACATTGCAGTATTAGAGTAATTGCATTGTTTAAATTGCAGCTCTGAGACTGTCTTACCAGACAGCCACTGGACGCACTTCCTGGATTGAATGGACCTTTGGTCTGGTGTCGGACGCTGGAGGTCCTCATGCTCTGCATGAGGACCTGTTGTCAGATTTTACCCCATAGGAAAGCATTCAATGCACGCAGCATTTGCTGTGCTTTCTCATTGGCACCTGCTAGTCTTAGGAAGGGTTGGAGCATTGAGATGGTATAGGGCAAGTAAAAGTTTTGTTGTTTTTTGTTAAACCATTTACTGCAGTGGGGGAGGCAGGGGGAAGTGCGTGCCAAGAATACTGCTTTGCAGTCCTTAAGAGGATTGAGCAATTTGAGAACCATGTACATATGCATTCAATGCAATAAGACCCATTTCACTTTTTTGTAATTGAAACCACTGCAACACCTTGCCTTCAAAAGAGCATTGGTATGTGCAAGATAAGGCACATTAATTTTCGAGTTACCTTCTAAAGATTATCTTTGACAGGTCCAGCATTTCCCAAGCCAGCTGCAGGTTACCAACATCCTCTTCCTCATTTTCCTTTATAATAAAAAAAAAAAAAAAAATTATTTTTTATATTAAAGTGCTATAACTTATACAGCTAGTGTCTAGAATCTTTGTTGCAATAAACACTTCAGTGGAGAAACTAAGAATATTTACTTCCAGACTAGAAAGCAGCAGAGCCAGTTAAATTTGCTTATGCCAAGGAGGCATAGTTGGCAAAGCATGAGCACCTTTAAACTGCCAATTTAGAGGTATAGAAATTAGGCCTTGGGTCTGCAGTAGAGTACTTGAGCCCTCAAGCTCAGTGTAACCATGATCTGGATTAATTTACTAACAAAATTCACAACAGATCTGAAGTGTGGAAACCAAGCTATCAGCTATGGATATACACAGGGAACATGTATGGGATTCTAGAAGTTTCCAAGAGCAGTTCTAGAAATGAGATTCAGCTAAATAGCCATTAGACAGTGCTGCTTTAAGGTGGCTTTAAACAGTTGCTTGGCATGTATCCACTGACATGTATTTAACGGGCATTTGAAGCAAGAGGACTTTGTAATCAATAATCCTTCACATGTCTACTCTATTAGCAACTTCTTTCCTTACCTTCTCTTCGGTTTCCTCATTTTCTTCAGAGTCTTCACCATCTGCAAGAGAAGAGAGTTTTATGAATGAAATTCAGAAAATCAGTTAAAGAGTAAATGTCAAGTGTTCAGTCCACATCTGAAGATTGTGCCACCAACACCAGACTGGATGAAGTATCACACAAGTGCCCAATAAGCAGTGTAGACCCATGTGCATGAATATCCTCCATATTGACTTGTTGATAAGCTTCAGATCAAGTCACAAAAATGCAGCTTAAGGCTTAGTTGACATTAATACCCAGTGCTTCAAATTTATTAAGTCAGATGGAAGACCAAAATGTAGCCTCGCCGAACTAATTACCTTCACCTTCCATTTGTTCTTCTGTTTCTTCCTCTTGATCTCCAGATTGATCTTTTGAAGCAGTTTCCTCCATCTCAGACACTTCATCTGTTTGGACACTTGGCTTCTCTTCAGATGTTTCAGGAGCAACAGCTTCTTTCCCTTCATCCTTTGAATCTTTCCCTTCATCCTTTGAATCTTTCCCTTCATCCTTTGAATCTTTCCCTTCATCCTTTGAATCTTTCCCTTCATCCTTTGAAACATCCTTTTCCTCTACTGCTTGATCACGGCATTCAGTTTTAGAGGCTTCACTTTTGGATTCGCTCTTTGTCTCAGTGTTTTTCACTTCAGTATTTTCCTCTTCCACAGGATTTTTGGAAGATGCTGCAGCTGGCTTTTCACCCTCTTCCATGTGATCACCTTCAGGCTCATCTTTAGTCTCCAAGTCAGTTTTATCATCTTCAGTGGGTTTCACATTGCATTCCACCTGCTTTTCACCCTCCACATCACATTTCTCCATTTTATCTTCAGATTTCCCATCACACTCATTCGCTTTTGAGTTTGTCATTTTCTCACAATTTTCCTTCCCTTCCTTCTCTGGTTTATCTGCAGGCTTCTCTTCTTCTGCCATAGCGTCATATACCTGCTCTCTCAACTGCTCCCTTTCTTTCTCTAGATATTTGTGGGATATGAAGAGAAATTCTTCTATTTTAGTGATGGGAACTACAGTTTTAATTCTACACACTCAGTTTGACATGCTTTACCGTCTCTGCCTAGCTGTCTGCAGACAAGAGCACATGGCAGCCTCCAGACAGGAGACTAACTGATCAGTAACTACATCCATATTTTACCCACATCTGACAAAGCAACATATCCAATCTTATATTGACAGAACTACAGCATTATGGCCCACTATCTGTGGGACTGAAAGGGCAGGGCTTTAGTATCTGAAGACAGTTTAATGCACTAAAGGTTGACCAGTTTTAAGGGTCAACTCTTGATGCATCTAAAATGTCTAGTCATAAGTTGTTCATTTAGGGCACTAAATTACAAATATGCTCATGTTGGTTCCAAACCATACCATTAAGTCTAGTTAGCTACAAAATTTGTTGAATAGAACCACTATGTTAAAACAAGCCATCACATCCTCCATTTTAACACTTCATCTGTCCTTTCTAACTGCTTGGACTTCTGCCTTCTCTTCAGAGGTTTGCAAAAGCCATCACATGGTGCATAGATTCCCCAAGTAACAGGCTATGTGAAACTACAAGCACCATAACTACTAAAAATCAGTGTAGTGAGACAAGAGTGTCCTGATGCAGCCATACAGTAACAGGTCAAACCACTTTAGTACAATTTGGATGAAGATTAGGACATTAACATTTGGCTTCTGCTGTCATGACAACTTACCACTATAGAGCAAAGTGCCAAAGCAGGACTGCTTTGCTCTAAACATTAGCCTTTTTCTGCAAGTTACTGCTGGAGGTCTTCCAAGGACCAATGCAAGTTGTCAAATCATGCTAGAGGGCTTGACATCTTACCATGAGAAGGTGCAAGGAAACATGACAATAGTCAGAGTGCTGCAGTAGTAATTGTGTTTGCAATGACTGTAGTGTTGCTTTAAAGGATCAGATTACTCTGCAGAAACTCCGTTTTCAAGTTAAGACCATATAATCTCAATCACACTGAGAACATAGCATATATTTGAGTCATGGAATGTTACAGTTAAAAAGGCCAACAGACTGCTATATGGTCCGTAAACATTTAATGTTGATAAGTGCAAGATAATGCATTGTGGATGTTAAAACCCAAGGGCAGACTACAGAATATTTTTACCTTAGTGTCTGAGGAAAGGGATTTAGGGGTAATTATTTCTGATGACAAATTTAGACAGACAATGTAATAGAGCAGCAGGAAATGCTAACAGAATGCTTGGTTGTATAGGGAGAAGTATTAGCAGTAGAAAGAGGGAAGTGCTCATGCCATTGTACAGAATACTGGTGAGACCTCACGTGGAGTATTTTACTCAGTACTGGAGACCGTATCTTCAGAAGGATATTGAAGACCTTAGAGAAGGTTCAAAGAAGGGCTACTAAACTGGTTCATGGATTGCATGATAAAACTTACAATGAAAGGTTAAAGGATCTTCACATGTATGGCTTGGAGGAAAGATAGGGGGATAGGATAGAAACAATACATAAAAGGAATCAAAGTAAAGGATGAGACCATATATTTAAAAAAAAAAAAAACCCCATAAGAGGGACAAAGGTTTAAAAATAATATCAGGACGTATTACTTTACTGAGAGGGTAGTGGGTGCACAGAATAGCCTTCCAGCTGAAGTGGTAGAGGTTAACAGTGAAGGCATTTAAGCATGCATGGGATAGGCATAAGGCTATCATAGCTATAAGATAAGGCCACGGACTAATCAAAGTCTTTAGAAAGTTTGACAGACTAGATGGCCCAATTGGTCTGATCTGCCGTCACATTCTATGTTTCTATATACCTTATGCTACAATCACTATGTAGATTAAAACAGCCTAATCTGATGTTAGATTTCGTTACATGCACACCTGTGTAGAGTCAAGCATGTTAGTTAGCATAAATACTGTCAGATTGATGAAGTGTAGAGCCACCTTTCAGCAAGATTTGCATTGAAGGTTTGTAATATCTTGCCTCACAGGTCACTTTACATGTGACAGACATCTGATTGGTTCTTTAAAGCCATGCTCCCAGCTGTTAAGAGCAGCAAGATGTTTGTTATCAGGAGTCCAGGAGAATTCCAAATTTTAGTTCTCTAGATGTGCCCCTTAAGATTTAAGGGTGCTTTGAACAGGATGATTATGACTGACCTACCATCTATGTTCTCTGCACTTGGAATATTTGGATCCTCTTTCTCATCTTCTTCCTCCTCCTCCTCTGGTATTCCTTCCAAGGCATTACCCAACACACCATTCTCCATCCTAAATAAAATGAATGCCACAATAACATTAATTGTATACTATATAACTGCCATAAGTTATGCCTCAGTGCATTCTGCTTATGCTCCATGTTCAACAATTGAGCTTTTTATTGAAATTTATATATAGTGTGAAGATAAGTGTCTTATAAAACTTTAGATATTTTTAGTCCCCATGCATACATCTTGCCAGGCTTGTTTTTAAAACCCAAAATTTGAATCGTAACTCAATGATGATCCTTTAACACCAATAAGAGAATTAAAGGGGGAAAGGGTGCTTTAAAAAAGAACTGAAGAGCTCAGGTTAAAGGATTTCTGCTCTCCATTAAAACATTTGAGGTGAAACTTTTCACAAGGGGAGCAGGGAAGGGGGTTTGTCACATCATCTGTTTTGATATGCTCTTTGACCCTTTAAATACATCTTTCTTAGACCATCATAACATTACCATGGATACAAAAATGTGTTCTGAAATAAATTACAAGAGTATCAGTTTCAATTTCCATGGCCACTTCAAGTAGTTTTGTATCTGCAGATCATGAGCACCCTCTTACCTTACAAATCACATTTATATAGTGAGATCCTGAAGCATGATATGTTTTCATGTACCTGACAAAACCATATTAGCCATACAGGAGCAGTAGGTGAAGATAGCCCTGTCAAGATGACTTTACAGTCTAAAGAGGATGAAGGGCACATACAGAGGGAATCAAAAAAAAAAAAATCTGTATATGCCTGGAAGATGGGAGGGCAATTCAGGATAACAAAACCCCACCCTGTCAGCCATTTATGAGGTTTAAAGGGACAAGGAGTTTAACCTAAAAGATGGGGTGAGAATCCAGCACTGCCTTCCACCCATCATCTAAGTGCATTGCATGGTCTGGTTACAGGCTGTGATTGTATTCTTGCTGACAAAGCATACTTGTGTTTGAGACAACGTTGAATAAATATATAAAAATAATAACTTACAGGGAGACAGGAAGGTGCATATCATCAAGGGAGGGGCATCTATGCTACTTCTTGCATGCACTGCTAGAGAAAATGTTTATGTTATGCACAAAGATGTCACGTGTACTTGGGGCGTAACCAAGCCATGACATAAGTGCAGATTTTTCCTACCACCGTGACCACTTCATGTCACTAGTGGTTAACCATTAAAGAGATTTTACTACACTTTACATCTGGGTATCTAGGATACTAAATATAGTAGGGGTGTATCAGCCAAGATAGGTACATTCACTAGACCAAGGATTTTTTTTTATTAAACAAATGAGTAGGTTTATAATGCCTACATATTGAAATCACAATTATAGGCCTTCTCTGGGTAATCTTAAAAGGTAACTTTGTTAAAATAGTCATTTTCACAGAGTTTTGGAACTAGGCTCATTTGTGTGTTAATACTGGATATTTTATGTGAGTTGTGCATTTAGTTTCAAACAAATTGAGATTAGTCTGAATTCCATAACTCAAAAGAGATATGATGCTTTACCAGAGTTGCACACAGGGCTTTTGCTTATTGTATCAGTTAAGGGAACACCAATTCACCAGACCAACCTCAGCTTAATGAAGCAGTTTTGATGCATTGATCACTTGCACTTCCTATAAAAAGAGCCAATGTTTAGACTTCCGTTATAGTACACATTCTGTTTAACCCCTTAAGGACACATGACATGAGGTGTGGCTAGAGCTGCATAAACATGTTTAACTCCTTAATGGCAGAGAATTGAGCAGTGAGATTGCAGGGACGTGATCTACGCTCCAAAACAGCTTCGTTTGAGTTAAGTTTAGTTACTTAGGACCCTTTTCCTCCTCATTCCATTTGAAGTCTTGGATGTCCATCAAACTGATGTAGCAATACATAGTTTGGCTTTGTTTAGTATACTAGTTTCCAGTCAGCCCGATGCACAAAGTGATACAATTTGTTATACATTTATAACTGAAGGTGATAATAGGGCAAGTGAATTGCAAAATAGTACAGAGGAAGAATTTTGCACAACCTAAACCTCAATGTACACTTTAGATTTTGGATTGATTTCTTGCATTAAAGGACCACTATAGTGCCAGGAAAACAAACTAGTTTTCTCTGCCACTATAGGGTTATTCAGTCCCCCCACCCTCAGAGCTGAAGGGGTTAATTCAAACCACCCATAGGAAAGCATTACTCAATGTTTTCCTATGGACGTCAGCGTCTTCACTGATTTTCACAGTGAGACTCGCAGAAGCAGCTGTCACGGAGGCAGCCACTTGAGGCTGTATTAACCCTCAGTGTAAACAGTTTCAGAGAAACTTCTATGTTTACAGCTGCAGGGTTAACACTAGAGGGACCTGGCACCCAGACCACTTCATGGAGTGGAAGTGGTATGGGTGGCAATAGTGGTCCTTTAAGGCATGAATGCATCCAAACTGATGTCTGCAAGACTGGTGTTTCACTGTCTATTTAAACATCAAGATGAAGCTTAGGAGTGGTTTCTGGGTATGACAATGTTTTAATGGTAGCTTCCACATCGTTACAGGTATGCCCCACAAAGGGACAATGTGTGACCAAGTTCAGCATTTGGATGAAACAAGGCGACTACAGTGGGTTCTACTGTGTTATGTAAAGCCTGTGGAGTTTAGCAGTCAAGGATTCACACTCATTCTGAGAGTGCCTGGTGGGTGAATGTTTATTAGAATTTCCAGCCATATACAGCACTAGCAGACCAAGTACTGCAACATTGTCTTTAATATATTACAGATTAGAAGGAATATTATAGAGCTTAGGTTTTATTAGTTAACTGCCTAAAGTTTCACTTTATTCCAGACATGCATGAACACATTAGTTTACAGCCATAAAGGCTACACAGCAACACATTTGTTATACTGAAAACATGCACACGAGTATGGAAGGAAAAATAAATAGCTGTTCGGTACGACCCAACACCCCCCCAGTCTGGCATACCACAGACCAACTCATGTACCAATAATGAAGAGACAATGTTAGTTTACCAACAGCCAGAGGAAAACCACAAATTAGGAGTTTACACCAGCATTTATTCTCACCGGGCCAGTTCAAGGAGACTAATTCCATATGAGAAGAAGGCATCAGCACATTCATCAGCTGTATCCCCATATTTCTTAGCTCTGAAAAAAAGATTGTTTATGATTGGAAGTTAGCGAATGTTGTGCCCATTTACAAGAAAGGTAATAGGGAGGAGTCGGGCAACTATAGGCCAGTAAGCCTTACTTCAGTAGTGGGGAAAGTGATGGAAACCATGTTAAAGGATAGGATTGATGAACATCTAAAAACACATGGATTTCAAGATCAGAGACAACATGGGTTTACTTCAGGGAGATCATGCCAAACAAATCTTATTGATTTTTTTGATTGGGTAACTAAAATTATAGATCAGGGTGGTGCAGTAGACATTGCTTACCTAGATTTCAGTAAGGCTTTTGACACTGTTGCACATAGAAGGCTTATCAATAAACTGCAATCTTTAAGTTTGGATTCAAATATTGTTGAATGGGTAAGGCAGTGGCTGAGTAACAGGCAACAGAGGGTTGTAGTTAATGGAATATATTCGAAGCTTGGACTTGTCACCAGTGGGGTACCTCAGGGATCTGTACTTGGACCCATTCTCTTTAATATTTTTATTAGTGATATTGCAGAAGGTCTTGATGGTAAGGTATGTCTTTTTGCTGATGATACTAAGATATGTAACAGGGTTGATGTTCCAGGAGGGATAAGCCAAATGGCAAATGATTTAGGTAAACTAGAAAAATGGTCAGAATTGTGGCAACTGACATTTAATGTGGATAAGTGCAAGATAATGCATCTTGGACGTAAAAACCCAAGGGCAGAGTACAGAATATTTGATAGAGTCCTAACCTCAACATATGAGGAAAGGGATTTAGGGGTGATTATTTCTGATGACTTAAAGGTAGGCAGACAATGTAATAGAGCAGCAGGAAATGCTAGCAGAATGCTTGGTTGTATAGGGAGAGGTATTAGCACTAGAAAGAGGGAAGTGCTCATGCCATTATACAGAACACTGGTGAGACCTCACTTGGAGTATTGTACACAGTACTGGAGACTATCTTCAGAAGGATATTGATACCTTAGAGAGGGTTCAGAGAAGGGCTACTAAACTGGTTCATGGATTGCGGGATAAAACTTACCAGGAAAGGTTAAAGGATCTTAACATGTATAGCTTGGAGGAAAGACGAGACAGGGGGGATATGATAGAAACATTTAAATATATAAAGGGAATCAACACAGTAAAGGAGGAGACTATATTTAAAAGAAGAAAAACTACCACAACAAGAGGACATAGTCTTAAATTAGAGGGACAAAGGTTTAAAAATAATATCAGGAAGTATTACTTTACTGAGAGGGTAGTGGATGCATGGAATAGCCTTCCAGCTGAAGTGGTAGAGGTTAACACAGTAAAAGAGTTTAAGCATGCGTGGGATAGGCATAAGGCTATCCTAACTATAAGATAAGACTAGGGACTAATGAAAGTATTTAGAAAATTGGGCAGACTAGATAGTCCGAATGGTTCTTATCTGCCGTCACATTCTATGTTTCTATGTCAACTTAACAATAAAGCTCACTACTGAAGTGCTAGAAAGTGAGACTGACAGATACTTACAATAGGCTGCTGGCTTCCTGAAAAGCAGCAACTGCTGACTTTATATCCTTCATCACCAAGTTTCTGTGACCCGCACCCATAAGCTTTTTGGCTTCACATTCCACATCCTCCCTAGGGTTATACAATATTAGCATCATGTAACATTTAACACTCACAGAACTTTACAAATTTGCTTTCAATCTAGGAGCCAGTTTCTTCCCCCAGGACAGAAATAAAATTCTGGAACACTATAGTTACCAGAACCACTACAGCTTAATGGAATGGCTGATGTCTGCAGGGACACGCTATATATGTCAGTGTAAACATTGCCTTTTCATAGAAAAAGGCAGTTTTTATATTGCTGTCTAGTAACACCTGTAGTGGCTGTCTCAGATGGCCACTAAAGTATCGCTATTTCCGTGCTGCACAATGTGCAGACCCTACATTCAGCATCACCACACTCTTTGGCATAGAGGCACTAAATGTTCCCCATAGCGATGCTTTTAATTGATTTAAGCAATCTCAGCTATGGAGGTGGGCCAGCTCATTTGAGACTGGCATGGCGCTGGAAAAATTAGTAAAAACAGCATTCCTATGAGATCAGTGGTGGATGGTGACCTAAACAAATTCACTGACACCGTCAGAAACTCAAAGCATTACTTATTGATACACCTATAAACAATATACAGTATATACTTGAGTATAAGTCTAGTTTTTCCAGCACATTTTTTGTTCTTAAAAACCCCCACTCGACTTATACTCGAGTCACTGTTGGTATTATGGCAACTTAGAGAGCCGCGGCCGTCAGAGCCATGGCAACGATCCGCGTGGCAACCAGACCGCGAGACTTACAGTGGAGCTGACCGGAGCTGCAGGAAAAGTAAGTAAATGCTTCCTGCCGCCCCCCCCACTTCACATCCCATGCCACTGGACCACCAGGGATTAAGATAGCCCCCCTCCCTGAACAGTTAACAAGCAGGGAGGGGGGACAAAAAAAAAAAATATTAAAATAAAAATGCCCTCCCCCCACCCAGTTCACACACTACGCAAACACTCTGCATTATATACACTGTGTGTATATAATGCAGTGTGTGTTTGTATGAGTGTGTGTATATCTAATTATAAAAATCACAGAATTTCATAGCCCCAAGTTTTACCCTCGACTCATCCACAAGGCACAGCATATTTCACAATTGTTGGTCACAAAACTGCACTCGACTTATACACGAATATATACGTTATAGAGACACAGAAATAAGGAAAAACAAACATCTTTATCCACCCTCCTGTTTCCTAGCTTATGGTCTCAGGAGGATGGCTTCCCCCTGGGGACTGGGCATCAGTAGGTGACGTTAGTGGGACTGGCTGCCGCTGTGAAAGACTCACTTTGCCCCCTGCCTCTAGGGCCATGGAGCTCTGTGCGCCAGGAGGAAGGGAGCTGTAACAACTTCCCACCTGACGCTGAGGTCATGCAGGGGAAAGGGCAGGCAGGCAACTCTGCAGCATGGTCAGCATCTGCACCTGGCAGAAGTAATTACAGTTCCCTTCACTTCCTCCAGGTGCACAGAGAGCTGCAGGGGAATGGAGACAGGAAGAGGAGGGAACAGGCTGACCAATCACAAGTGCAATATTTAGTCACCATTGCACCTAGGGTTGTCGAGCTCTGATTTAACAATTTATGAAATTATAAACTTACACAGCAACTTTGTCAGATGATGTTGAAGGAGTGTCTACAGCTTCAGGCCTAAAAGAAGAGTAAAGTGTCAATACCGAGCATCAACTGGCTCTGAATCGGAGGTAGTTATTGTACAAAGTATTTACATTCTTTTGAAAGAGCAAATAGTAAAGTCACTTCAAAGCCTTCTCGTCACCCCCAAACAGGCACAAGGTGTGCAGAGAGAGAGAAAATTCAGCATCACCACACTCTTTGGCATAGAGGCAGTAAATGTTCCCCATAGTGATGCTTTTAATTGATTTAATTAATCTCAGCTATGGAGGTGGGCCAGCTCATTTGAGACTGGCATGGTGCTGGAAAAATTTGTGAAAAAAGCATTCCTATGCGATCAGTGGTGGATGGTGACCTAAACACATTCACTGACAGTCAGACAAACTCAAAGCATTACTTATTGATACACCTATAAATATATAGAGACACCGAAATAAAGAAAATAAAAAAACATCTTTATCCACCCTCCTGTTTCCTACCTTATGGTCTCAGGAGGATGGCTTCCCTGGGGACTGGGCATTAGTAGGTGATATGTTAGTGGGACAGGCTGCCGCTGTTTAAGACTCACTTTGCCCCGTGCCTCTAGGGCCATGGAGCTCTGACGCTGGGGTCATGCAGGGGAAAGGGCAGGCAGGCGACTCTGCAGCATGGTCAGCTATGCGGCCTGGGGCAGAGCCATCTTTACCTGGTGTCCTGCCAGGTTAGCGTGCCATTACCTGGTGCGACATCTGCACCCGGCGGAAGTAATTACAGTGCCCTTCACTTCCTCCAGGTGCACAGAGAGCTGCATGGGAATTGAGACAGGAAGAGGAGGGAACAGGCTGACCAATCACAAGTGCAATATTTATCATCATCATCATCTATATAGCGCCAACAGATTCCATAGCGCTTTACAATATTTTGAGAGGGGGGGGGGGGAATGTAACAATAAATAGGACAATTACAAGAAAACTTACAGGAACAATATGTTGAAGAGGACCCTGCTCAAACGAGCTTACAGACTATAGGAGGTGGGGTATTAGAAACATTAGGACAGGAAATATCAAGTAGGAGTGAAGCAGAGCTGGAGGAGAGAGCAAAGCACTGTCCCATAGGAAAGAGCAGGAGACAGGTATGTAAGGTAGAGATTACTCCGGGAGGCCATAAGCTTTCCTGAAGAGATGGGTTTTAAGGCCCTTTTTAAATAATTGAAGGCTAGGGGAGAGTCTGATGGCAGTAGGCAAGCTATTCCATAGGAGAGGAGCCACCCACGAGAGGTCCTGCAAGCGCGAGATTTAGTCACCATTGCACCTAGGGTCGCCGAGCCCTGATTTAACAATTTATGAAATTATAAACTTACACAGCAACTTTGTCAGACGATGTTGGAGCATCTACAACTTCAGGCCTAAAAGAAGAGTAAAAACTGTCAATACCGAGCATCAACTGGCTCTGAATCGGAGGTAGTTATTGTACAAAGTATTTACATTCTTTTGGAAGAGCAAATAGTAAAGTCACTTCAAAGACTTTATCATCATCCCCCCCACAGGCACAAGGTGGGCAGGGAGGGAGAAAATTACCCCCAACAGGCAAAATGTGTCGGGTTTAGACTGACCCCCTCCCACCCCAAGCCCAGTGTGGGGCGGCTCTATGTGTGTGTGTTATGGATGCCTCTAACACGGCCAGCCGGGTGTATGAGGCCACATTACCAACATAACCCAGCGAGGGATTGGGGTCTCTGCCAGGATATCCCTTACCGGGGGCGGCTGGTGGGGAGATTAACATTGGATACTCCGTGTGGGGGAACATGGCGAACTGGGGGCAAGTGTCCGGGATGTGGAGGGCTAGTGCTGGGTACCGGTCTCACAGACACGCCGCCCCCCGGGGTCCGGTATGACCAGCTCGCTCCCCCCCGCCCGGGGTCCGGTCTGAGGTAAAGCCGTTTTGGCGCCAAACCCGCTCTGTCACCGTTTGGCCGAGCACACAAAGCGCCACGCGCTGTCTCATGAAGCAGCCAATCAGAGCAGAGCTCGCGGGTCCTGTCTCCCGGCCAGCCAATCGGAGAGCAGAGCTCGCGGGTCCTGTCTCCCGGCCAGCCAATCGGAGAGCAGAGCTCGCGGGTCCTGTCTCCCGGCCAGCCAATCGGAGAGCAGAGCTCGCGGGTCCTGTCTCCCGGCCAGCCAATCGGAGAGCAGAGCTCGCGGGTCCTGTCTCCCGGCCAGCCAATCGGAGAGCAGAGCTCGCGGGTCCTGTCTCCCGGCCAGCCAATCGGAGAGCAGAGCTCGCGGGTCCTGCTCGCGCAGGTTGCTGCCAGGCCCCCCTCACAGGAGCTCCCAGGGGCCACACGGCACGGGGCCCCGTCCCCATGCAGCGCCTTACTTGGAGGACTCGGTGGGCACGGACACGGTCTCCTCAGCCATGGCGCTCAGCTCGCTGACAGGATTCGCACAGGAAAGATGGCAGCAGCTCGTAATCCCCCGCGCTGGGAACCCCCTCTTATACCCGCCTACCGGCGACACGCCCCTTCCTCGACAGGCCACGCCCACCTGCTTCCTTTTACCCTCTGACCCCGCCCCGGCTTCCCGCGCTCGAGCTGCCATTGTCTGAGCGTGTACCACGTGACCAGACATTAACCCCTGCTGTGCTGGGGGCCACAACAGGGACTGAACCAGGGGGCCACAACAGGGACTGAACCAGGGGGCCTCAGCAGGGACTGAACCAGGGGCCTCAGCAGGGACTGAACCAGGAGCCACAACAGGAACCGAGCCAGGGGCCACAACAGGGACTGAACCAGGGGGCCTCAGCAGGGACTGAACCAGGGGGCCTCAGCAGGGACTGAACCAGGGGCCACAACAGGGTTTGAACCAGGGGGCCACAACAGGGTTTGAACCAGGGGGCCACAACAGGGACTGAACCAGGGGGCCACAACAGGGACTGAACCAGGGGCCTCAGCAGGGACTGAACCAGGGGCCACAACAGGAACCGAGCCAGGGGCCACAACAGGGACTGAACCAGGGGCCACAACAGGAACCGAGCCAGGGGCCACAACAGGGACTGAACCAGGGGCCACAACAGAGACTGATCCGGGGGCCACAGCACAGTCTGAACCGGGGACCACAGGGACTGAACAAGGGGCCACACCAGGGACTCAACAAGGGGCCACAACAGAGTCTCAACCAGGGGCCACAGCAGGGACTGAACAACGGCCCACTACAGGGACTGAACCAGGGGCCACAGCAGGGACCGAACCAGGGGCCACAACAGGGACCGAGCCAGGAGTCACAACAGGGACCGAGCCAGGAGCCACAGCAGAGACCGAGCCAGGAGCCACAGCAGAGACCGAGCCAGGAGGCACAGCAGAGACCGAGCCAGGAGGCACAGCAGAGACCGAGCCAGGAGGCACAGCAGAGACCGAGCCAGGGGCCACAGCAGAGACCGAGCCAGGGGCCACAGCAGAGACCGAGCCAGGGGCCACAGCAGAGACCGAGCCAGGGGCCACAGCAGAGACCGAGCCAGGGGCCACAGCAGGGACCGAACCAGGGGCCACAGCAGGGACCGAACCAGGGGCCACAGCAGGGGCCGAACCAGGAGCCACAGCAGGGACCGAACCAGGAGCCACAGCAGGGACCGAACCAGGAGCCACAGCAGGGACCGAACCAGGAGCCACACCATGGACTGAACCAGGGACCGAGCCAGGAGCCACAACAGAGACCGAACCAGGGGCCTCAACATGGACGGAACCAGGGGCCTCAACATGGACGGAACCAGGGGCCTCAACATGGACGGAACCAGGAGCCACAACAGAGTCTCAACCAGGGGCCACAGCAGGGACTGAGCAAGGGTACATTACATGGACAGGACCAGGGGCCACGACAGAGACTGAACCAGGGGACACAGCACAGTCTGAGCCAGGGGCCACAGCAGGGACTGAGCCAGGGGCCACAATAGGGACCGAGCCAGGGGCCACAGAAGGGACCGAGCCAGGAGCCACAGCAGGGACCGAACCAGGGCAGGGACCGAACCAGGGGGGCCACAACATGGACCGAACCAGGGGGGCCACAACAGGGACCGAGCCAGGGGCCACAACAGAGACCGAACCAGGGGCCACAACAGAGACCGAACCAGGGGCCACAACAGGGACGGAACCAGGGGCCACAACAGGGACGGAACCAGGGGCCACAACAGGGACGGGACCAGGGGCCACAACAGGGACGGGACCAGGGGCCACAACAGGGACGGGACCAGGGGCCACAACAGGGACGGGACCAGGGGCCACAACAGGGACGGGACCAGGGGCCACAACAGGGACGGAACCAGGGGCCACAACAGGGACGGAACCAGGGGCCACGGCAGGGACTGAACAAGGGTCCACTACAGGGACAGGACCAGGGGCCACGACAGAGACTGAACCAGGGGCCACAGCAGGGACTGATCCGGGGCCACAGCACAGTCTGAACCAGGGACTCAACAAGGGGCCACACCAGGGACTCAACAAGGGGCCACACCAGGGACTCAACAAGGGGCCACAACAGAGTCTCACCCAGGGGCCACAGCAGGGACTGAACAACTGTCCACTACAGGGACTGAACAACGGCCCACTACAGAGACTGAACCAGGGGCCGCGAGAGAGACTGAACCAGGGGCCACAGCACAGTCTGGAACAGGGGCCACAACAGGGACTGACTGAGCATCCTGGACCTCCAAGCCCTGCGCTTTATAAACTTTTTACAAAAATAAACTACTGTGCTCTTTCTATAATATATTTATACGTTAAACTAGAAATAGGTTTTATTTTATGGATTTTTATATTTCCGTATTATATCAGTTTATATTCCGCTCTCCCTATAGTTAGTATTATATCGGTTTATATTCCGCTCTCCCTATAGTTAGTATAATATTGGTTTATATTCCGCTCTCCCTATAGTTAGTATTATATCGGTTTATATTCCGCTCTCCCTATAGTTAGTATAATATTGGTTTATATTCCGCTCTCCCTATAGTTAGTATTCTATCGGTTTATATTACGCTCTCCCTATAGTTATTCTATCGGTTTATATTACGCTCTCCCTATAGTTAGTATTCGGTTTATATTTGCTCTCCCTATAGTTAGTATTCTATCGGTTTATATTACGCTCTCCCTATAGTCAGTATTCTATCGGTTTATATTACGCTCTCCCTATAGTTAGTATTCTATCGGTTTATATTACGCTCTCCCTATAGTTAGTATTCTATTGGTTTATATTACGCTCTCCCTATAGTTAGTATTCTATTGGTTTATATTACTCTCTCCCTATAGTTAGTATTCTATCGGTTTATATTACACTCTCCCTATAGTTAGTATTCTATCGGTTTATATTACACTCTCCCTATAGTTAGTATTATATCAGTTTATATTACGCTCTCCCTGTATTTAGTATTGTAGCGGAGGCCTGGTATTCCACAGGTTAACTCCACCAAAGATCCCAGTGAGGCTCAGGAACAAGTAGTAAAAATACCATAAAGTAATAATTCCAGCAAACAGGGTAATACACGAATATCCCCATACAGATCCCAATGACTGGATGACACACAGCATCAGGAGCAGAGCAGAACTTTTAATCCACACAACCTCCTTGTAAAGCATTCTCCCATGCAAGGGAGGGATTCATCATAATAAGGACAGTAACCAATAATGTCAGTTACCTTCCACACATCTCCTCCCCTCAGTGTGACACATAATCCCATTATATCTGCTGCAATTTCCCCCGAGTTCTGGATGTACCCCAAAACAGTTAGGTACAAGGGGCTAAGTGGCACCCCCTGGTAGCCCTGATCTGGCCCTGCGGTCGGTCTCCGTTTGGGAGGTAAAACACACATAAAAACCTGACATTCACGATTAACATTGCATTCGTCTGAATCCCCTTGTTCGGTACTTTTAACTTACCGAATGGGGGGCTGATTAGTCTTCCCGTTCAGGAGTTACGGAGCCCTGGAGGTCTCAGTGGTGTTCGGGTAATTGAGTGTCTGATTTGAGTTCCAGACACTCGACGACCAAACACCGCTGAGGTTTTCGTGCGTAAGACGAACGGCGGTCACCTAGATACATGCACACAGTACCAATTAACCTGCGGTTAGAGAACTGTGAAGCCTAATATGGTGCACACTTCTCTCTGGGGTGGTCTATTGGTTCGGTAGTTTTCATTCATATGGAATACGGATAGAAACTACTGAACAATCATACGAATACTACATACAGTTTTAACTATACAGAAGAATAAACATGAATTGCAGTTTTAACACAGTCTTTTAGGACAGCCTTAATACCATCCGCTACAAGTATTATATCGGTTTATATCCCGCTCTCCCTATAGTTAGTATTATATTGGTTTATATCCCGCTCTCCCTATAGTTAGTATTATATCAGTTTATATCCCGCTCTCCCTATAGTTAGTATTATATCGGTTTATATCCCGCTCTCCCTATAGTTAGTATTATATCGGTTTATATCCCGCTCTCCCTATAGTTGGTGTTATATCGGTTTATATCCCACTTTCCCTATAGTTAGTATTATATTGGTTTATATTACGCTCTCCCTATAGTTAGTATTCTATCGGTTTATATTACACTTTCCCTATAGTTAGTATTATATCAGTTTATATCCCGCTCTCTCTATAGTTAGTATTATATCGGTTTATATCCCGCTCTCCCTCTAGTTAGTATTATATCGGTTTATATTACGCTTTCCCTATAGTTAGTATTCTATCGGTTTATATTACGCTCTCCATATAGTTAGTATTATATCGGTTTATATTACGCTCTCCCTATAGTTAGTATTATATCGGTTTATATCCCGCTCTCTCTACAGTTAGTATTATATCGGTTTATATCCCGCACTCCCTATAATTAGTGTTATATCTGTTTAAACATGTGCAATTCGTTTCGGTCCGAATATGAATTCGGACGAATTTCGGGACATTCAGACATTCGGGTACTTCCGAAGTTACGAACTTACCGAAGTGCTGAAGTGCCGAAGTTCCGAAGCACAGTATTGCCTAAGTACTAATATACTTACCCAATGAAAGAAGAAGAGTGTTACATTGTATACAATTTTAAATAAAAAGTATACAAACATAGCCAGGATTCAGCTGTAAGCATTTGCAACACTTACAACAATCAAGTAACATACATTCATATAAAATGTAAGTTACTTAGCCTGTCAATGTAATGACAGGAATGAATAAGTAGATAACTCCCTAATTCCCACGGTATTAGGGAGCTATCTCCTAAAAGGCTGAAAGACCTTAATTGGTCTTTCAGCCAAATTTACTAATACTTAGTAAAGATTACTTAGTATTAGTAAATTATGACCCTACTCGCTATACCGCGAGTAGGGGCATGTCTATTAAACAGTAAACAGTCTGTGGCTGCTCACTGTTAAACAAAAAACTATTGTCCCCCCACCCCTGAGTGGCAGGTGGGGGCCCTAAAGTAAAATAATGGGGGGGACCTATTGTCCTCCCCCCTGGCCCCCACCCCTGAGCAGTGGGTGAGGGCCTTAAATTATAATAAGGGGGGGACCTAATGTCCTCCCACCTCTGAGCGATGGGTGGGGGCCCTAACCACTAATAAAGGGGGGACCTAATGCCCTGGCCCCCACCCCTGAGTGGTCGGTGGGGTCCCTACAGTAAAATAAGGGGGGGACCTAATGTCCCCACCCCTGAGCAGTGGGTTTGGGGCCCTAAACACTAATAAGGGGGGGGGGAGACCTAATGTCCCCACCCCTGAGCGGCGGGTGGGGGCCCTAAATTGGAATGTGGGGACGGACCTAATGTCTTCCCCCATGGCCCCCACCCCTGAGCAGTGGCTGGGGGCCCTAAATACTAATAAGGGGGGGACCTAATGTCCTCCCCCTGGCCCCTACCCCTGTGCGGCGGGTGGGGGCCCTAAATTGGAATAAGGGGGGACCTAATGTCCTCCCCCCTGGCCCCCCATCCCTGAGCGGTGGGTGGGGGCCCTATATACTAATAAGGGGGGGGACCTAGTGTCCTCCCCCCTGGCCCCCACCCCAGAGCGGCGGGTAGGAGCCCTAAATACCAATAGAGAGGGACCTATTGTCCTCCCCACCCCTGAGCGGCGGGTGGGGGCCCTAAAAAAAATGTTTCCCCCCCAGGTGACTAGGGGTCCCCAAACCCCTAATCACCCCCTCCCCCCAAAAAAAAATTAACCCCCTACCTACCTCCCTCACCCTAATAATAATGAGGGGGGACCTTTAACTAAGTACATGTAAAAAAAATAAATCTTACCATTCAATGTTTTCTTTCTTCTAAAATCTTTTTTCAGCCCCCAAAAAAGGCCAAATAAAAATCCATAATAACCGATGCAATAAAAAAAATTAAAAAAAATCCATCTTCACCCATGGAGGGCTCCGCGCAGACTGAACTCTGCAGCGCGGGGAAGGCTTATAAAGCCTTGCCCCGCCCTGCAATTAGGCTGAGAACACTCTGATTGGTGGGTTTAAGCCATCCAATCAGAGTGCTCTGACAGGTAAATGAAGAGACTGACAGGTAAGTCTCTACATTTACCTGTCACAGCACTCTGATTGGTTGGTTTGAAATCCACCAATCAGAGTGCTCTGTGTCATTTTACACAGCGTGGGAAAGTTTTTTGGAATTTTCCCACGCTGTGTAATCTGACTCATAACACTCTGGTGGATTAAGCAACCAATCAGAGAGTTATGAGTCAAATTACACAGCGTGGGAAAATTCCAAAGAACTTTCCCACGCTGTTTTTGTTTGTTTTTTTAACAGGCTGCTCACTGTTTACTAGACATGCCCTACTCGCGGTATAGCGAGTAGGGGCAAAATTTACTAATACTAAGTAATTTTTACTTAGCATTAGTAAATTTGGCTGAAAGACCAATTTAGGTCTTCAGCCTTTTGGTAGATAACTCTCTAATACCGTGGGAATTAGGGAGTTATCTACTTAGCGGCTGCAAGAGAAATTCTTAAGTGTTGAAGTGCCAAATTCCTGAATTGCGAAAGTCCCGAATTTCGGAATGCCGAACCGAAAATTTTCCCCATGCACATGCCTAATCGGTTTATATCCCGTTCTCCATATAGTTAGTGTTATATCGGTTTATATCCTGCTCTCCCTATAGTTACTATTCTATCGGTTTATATCCCGCTCTCCCTATAATTAGTGTTATATCGGTTTATATTACACTCTCCCTATAGTTAGTATTTTATCGGTTTATATTACGCTCTCCCTATAGTAAGTATTATATCGGTTTATACACTATAAGTTTACAAATGTATATTTTTCTAATTAAACTTGACTTTATAGTTATCTTTATAAAACTCTTTGTATAGCATGTAATTTGATCTTCACACCATCATCTGGTCTCCTGAAGTCCCATAACCTGAACACACGCTATCACGACTTGACGCCTTTCCGATATCATATATTGTAACAATAGGTGCGGAAAGTTCAGTGAGTCAATAGTGTAAGCCTGGCAAACTCCATTCATTTACCAAATATTTCTTTAAAGATGGAGACCCCATCCTACATTCTGCACTGCATATGGATATGAACACATGCCCATGTACTCTACACCTTCATACAACCTGGAATATGCACATATTTTAATATTGTAGTTTTTTGTAAAATCTTAAGTTTGACAAGATGAAAAAAATAAAGTTGTACAATGCCACATGTAAATGAAGGTGAAATATTTATATACAATTACCTTATACCAGAGAATAATTAATATTCAGCAAGCTGATATGTTCCCCAATCTCCAGCGCTCTTAATTTTTGTGCCCTCCTGTTTTATATCATTTGAGAAATTTTTCTGGTTGTTTGACAAGATAGAGAGCAATAAATCCCTGTGTAATGAGGGATTTAATATGTGTATGTACTCTAAACTATTAGATAGCCTTTTTAGCTTTCAGTACTCCAAATAGTTAGGTACCCTTGTAACGAAACCTCGTGTACTTTGTATCATACGATGACATACGTTCATTATCTCCCGAAATCCCCCAAGGTCGTGTGAATTATAGCTCTCAGACGCTCGGATACCCAAACATCAGTCGAGACTTGGAATATCTCATTATGGCCAGATGGCCCACTTTTATACACAGGCCCCCAGCATGAGGACTCTAGCCAAAACATAGAAACAACACGCCCAGGCGTGTTAATTAAACTAATTATCTCCCAGGCACTAGAGGTATAATGAATAAAATATAAAACCCCTCAAAACATACATAATATTAATGGGAACAACCACAAGTCTTATATTCCCAGATCCGAGTGCCCAAGTTATCAAAATAGCGCTTGGATCCGGTTGGTGGAACGAAATCACCATCCGGTAAAGTTTGGACCAACATTCAAAAATCAAGCTGCCCCTCAGATTTCCTCCAGATGGGCCACAAAGTCAAACTACAGGAGCCATATATCGTAAAATCTCAATTCCCTCCCGTATAGATTAGCATTCCTTGCCTCCGTTTTATTATACACTTCCTACATGGAAGATGATTGAATTAAATTATTTATTTTTTTGCATTTCAGGTTTATATTTGCTTGTCATACTCTTTCTTTAGTGTGTTTTTTTTTTTTTTTTTAAGAGAATACCACTGGAGATCCATATCTACGATGTTTACCTGTAGTTTGATTATATTCTGTTCCAGTGCACAACGGTTCTTTACCTGATCTTCCCAAGGAGGGTTTTTTATACCTTTTTTACTTCCTATAACAGACTGTGTGTGCATCTCACCTGGAGGTGCTATTCGGGGGCTTACTCATATTGTGTAAGGCAGAAAATAACCAAACACGGAACTGCAATACAGGTTGTTTTTTCAAATTAAAGTGTTTTATTAGTATTCATCACAACAAAAATAGATATGACTTGACATAAGAGCCAAGGAACGTTGCATAATATGATGGAGGAATACAAGAATGTATAACAAAGTTCTATACATAAACATTCTGAAAACCCCTGACTGGTTTGATCAGGGACTTCACAGAACAAGGAGAAGAGGTAAGGGCGGAAAGGAGAGAGGAGGAAGGATAGGAGAGAAAGGAACTCTTTGCAGAATACGTTGGCGCTATATAAAATGCCCCAAAAAACAATTAGGAAATTGAAGAGAAGATAGAAGGAAAGTGATCTGGAGGAGGAAAACAAAAAACAAACTTTTTTTTCACCACCACACAAGGCAAGTGGCAGGAAATGTAAAGTACTCCTTTTTTTAAATTAGCCTCGAACCAGATTTTATAGGAGATGGATGGACTGAAGCCGCCGTCTTTTCCATTGAGAAGAATGTGTGGGGTGTTTGTTTTACAGAACCACTTTTATAGTGACCAGGGTGCCATTCCATTAAGGTGATTGAGACAAGTGGGAAATGTGTACTGGCAGGAAAGGGACTTGTAACTTTTTTCCCATAGGGAGTGCAAACAACGATCTTCAGTGAGTTTTCAACAATGGCAGAGTAATCTTCAGGATAAAGACATTTCCCAAGCCATTCTCCAATGTTAAAATAAGAGGTTGTGAGGGTAACCTCATGTATGTACAAAACAGAGCACTGAATCCATGTAGAGGTCCTCTATGGCTTCTGCTAATGGGCTTCATATACAAACGAGTATACAAGGAGGCTGGTAAATACTCCTCCAGGAAAAACAAAAAAAACCACAAGGTTCAAGAGAGTATAGGAGAACGGACAACAGCTCGATTAGCCGGGCCTTTGGTGGGTCCCTGCTCAGATCTCAAGCTGGTTGTAGCTTATCTTGTGCCATTACAAAAAGAGCCAGGGCAATTTGCATATCAGACTGATCCCACCCAAAAGGGCGGTTCAGATCTTCACCGATGATGCCTAACAAGGCTGAAACGATTGTCTGGGGTGGTTGTATCTCTTGTGCAGAGAGCCAGCCTGCGTTTCAGATATGTGGCGCCCTTTTGGGTGGAATCAGTCTGATAGGCAAACGGCCCTGATTCTTTTTGTAATTTCACAAGATGAGCTAGAACCAGCTTGAGATCTGAGTGGGGACCCACTGAAGGGCAGGCTAATTTAGCGGTTGTCCGTTCTCAGTACTCTCTTGCACACAGTTTTTTGGGTTTTTTTTTTTTGCTCCTCCAAAAGAATCGCACAATCTTCCTGAAGAGTCAGTTGACGAATAGGTTGTCAGGGTATTTATATCGGCAGACATCTTGTGCTATGATAGAAACTAAAAGTGTATATTCTGAGTCACTCTGAACAGACCAGACTCCATTTTGTTATTTCAAGTTAACAGAAAGACACTATATTTCTATCTGTAAGCTAACCACTTTCCCAGAGCTCAGGAATGCATAGTATATACAAGTCAAGTGATAAGGAAGGGGGTTGGATAGACTGTCTAAAATGCTAATGGAATATAATCAAATCTAAACCCAGACAATTGTGACAGAGAAGATTAAATAATTTAATATTTAACTGTCTATATATATAAGGTACCATTGTATGGAAAAGGGTAAACTTAGTTCATGATCTGTCATATCAGAAATTATGGCAGGAATTGCAGACGCTAAGTCTGGACAAAATTTAAGAAACCCTTTGAAATTTTAAATTATGGCGCTATAAAGATAACGCAAAATGACGTCAAAATAGCCACCAGGAAAAGTTAACTCTTTCCTGGATAGGTATGTTTAGTGGGACAAGACTGCCCTCTACAGACCAAATACCTAAATTGCGATCTGGAAGATAACCACACCTCTAGTGCTTCTATTGGGTTATCAACTGATGACGTACAGAGAGTCTGGCCCTTTAAAAGTTAAGACAAAGGGAAGATAGAGAACAAACAACACGAGAGGAGGCACATGCAAGATATGCAACGGAGAGGAGAGAGGAATTGGAAGTTTGGGGATTCCAACTCGGACAACATCTGAGAATAACACTCTACTCCTAAAACTCTAACACTTAGAATTTACTGACTTTCTAACCAACACCTCCATGCAGAGAGACTACCAATCGGATGAAATATCTACTCAACTGGTAATTATACTGGTTTCATTTAATTAAATTAAATTAATTAAAATGTATTAATAGCATTATATATGACTGGATAAAGCACGGTCAGATTTCCATATTAAGAAATCTTAGTTAACTAAGAATATATAGTTATAAACATTCCATTCTGCAGGTGGAATTAAGAATAATTATATATTGATGTGATATTATCACGTGTTAGCATACCGCTGTTTTTATCCAGGTGTATTGATTTGCTCTAAATTAAGATAGATATCTTTTAGACAAATTAAAAATCTGCTTATATAATGTGGTAAATTCTCTTATGGATGGTTTAAGAAAATGACTAGTGAACTGGTTTAAATGTTATTTTATTTAAAAATACATAAGAATAGATCTTAACTACCTAGGAGATCTAGCCAGCATTGAAAGGGTTATTCTAACTGTCTGCTAAACTTTACGACCTTACGCTGCACTCTGAAGAATTCTGTTCTCTGTGTGAAAAGTTTTACTTTCAGTCTGTGTTAAAGATGGTAATAAATAAGTCTTGACAGATAATGCCGTTAAGCCATTGAAACGTAATACCCATTTCTTTGTATTGCATATCGTTTTATACTGAATATTCATTGATTATTGTCATGCATGTTACATAATATTATTTGTTAATTATTATTAATTTGTCATATAAATAAAAATCTATTTTTATACATTGTGATATTATTATATGAAATACATTCCACTTAACACGATAAACGTTCTTTGGGATCTGAGAATTGAAATAGTGGGCAATTCTCAACTGTTACTATTATTATCCCATAAATATCCCCACATATTGGAGGCACGGTGCTGAGATCGTTTAAGTTGAAATTGTATTTCATATATAATAATATTGGTGTAATTCATGCAATTTAATCTTGATATAGAAAAGAGTTTTGTATTGAGATTAAATCACTGTATAGAAATATGGCTGAATCTAGCGCTTCATCTCAATCAGAGAATGGGAAGAAGTTAGCGGAAATGCAAGGTTTTCCCTTAAGCATCATATATCAGTATCTAAAAATTAAAGTTGATTATCCAGAGTGGATACTCCAAATAAAAAAACAGGTTGATGATTCAATTCACGATAGATCGGCTGATTCACCTATGGTTAAATATCTTAGCCATATAGATGAAGAGTCTACAATGCGATCTGTTACCAACTCATGCCCGTTTTTCATATTGGGTTATTCTATTATGTTAAAAAAGCATAATGAGATAGAACGTAAATTGGACGAGTGTCAGAAAGACCTGGTGCTCGAACAAGGAAGGTTCAAAACCTTGTCTGATGAAAATAATCTCCTTCAGGTTCTAAACTCTGACCTTTTGAATAAACTGGAAAGAATGAACAAAATGGTGGATGATTATGATCAACAGATAAAACAGATACAGATGCAGCTAGATGAATATCAAAAGGGAAGTGAAGGATTACTGGGAAAAGACCCAAGTGATTCTTATCAATTTCCTGATATTCACACACCAGACCAGGTTTTCATAAAACAGTCTCTAAGAAAAGATGTGAGTAATTCCGAGAAAACACCTGTAGATTCTTGGCAATCTTGGGCAGAACAGTTTGAAAAGACTGTCCTGGCCAAGCTTGACAGAAGGAATCAGATTCAAGGTGATAGGAATGAAAACAGACATGGTTCTGTACACTGGCAGAATTCTGATGCAGATCAGAATTGTGACAGTGAACAAGAAGCTCGGAGTGATGGGAGTGAAAGTGATTGCACTATCCACTCTGAAGGCCATGTAACTGATATGCCATCTGCACTGTTGTACGGGTCTAATTCCTCTTCAGCAGACAGATCGCATAGACGTTTACCCAAACACAGAAACAGAGATCGTAAATCAACGACGCCTGTTTATGAAACACCAAAGGTCATCAAATTCCTTAGAGAGACTGTCCCACAATTTTCTAGAGGTTCAGGAAACATATCTGAACATCTGGAAAATTATGATAGAGCAATGAATTCATTGGGCATGTATGATGACATTCATAAGAAATGGTTCATTACATGGACCTTTGATTCAATGTGCCGTGTTTATCTAGAAAGTCTTCAAGCTATACAGTTAATGTCCTGGTCCAAGATGAAATATGAAATAATCATGGAATATGGTAAGTATAAAACCATTGCTTCTGCAAAGAAGGCGCTTTATAACTTAAAGTGCCGTCCAGATCAAAGCCCCAGAGAATTTTTAATAATTCTTAAAAATGCATACTCCGTGGCCCAAAGAAAACCCAGGTATGAAAGCACAGACTTCAAAGATCTGTATTTTCATGCCATGCCGGTAAACATACAAATGAATCTCGCAAGAGATTACGATTGTAAGTTACCATTAGAATGGCTAGTCAGTCAGTGCATGAAGTTGTACACTATACACCATGCACATGACGAAAATCAGCCAAAGGTTAAGAAACCTGGTGATAAAATGGTGTCAGAGACTAAAATTCAGTTAGGTTTAGAAACCCAACAGAAAAAGAGGACCTATTCTGAGGTTTTGAAATCTCCAAAACCTCAGAAACAGGAAAACGCAGGAAGCAATTCTGCAAATTCCTCTGATAACTCTGATAAATCCAATGCCAATGGGAATAAACGCCCCTGGGTTAATAAGAACCAAGGCAATTCCCAATGGAGAAGGAATCCTCAGGGAAATAGGAGATATGGAAACAGAAATAACCAATCTGCTTCCAATAACTCCCAACAGTCTCAGCCATCCCAACCAAATTCTAATGGGCAAAGACAAAATGGCAATGGCGGAAATAATTTGCGTCGTCAGGTTGGTCAATTGACTGACCAGATGGGCAAATTAATGGAGGAAATGACAAAGATCAACCAAGTCTTTGCTCTCAATCCTTTTTTAGGGATAGCTCCAATTGCAGAACTACCTGTGCAACCGCAGCAACAACAACAGGTGCCGCAGCAATAATAGCCACTGTGACTAAACAGGCTAGGTTATCAGTAGATGTAATGCCTAACCCTGTTTCCTTTCCAGGTACTAACAGTCAAACAAACAATAGTTGTGTTAGGAAACCTATTGCCTATCCCGTCACTTCACTTCCGGGTGAAGGAGGCGCAACGTGTTCCTCTGTTTTTTCATTTCAGCCAAAGGCTAAAATAGCCCCAGCAACCACTAGTTTCCAGGATCCAGACCTGAAAGGGTTAACTGATGAGATGCCGACCACTAGTTCCCGCTTGACAGTTCAAGATATTCCTAAAAAGGATGGGCCTGTGGGTAAGACTGAGCATTCCTCAGTACAGGTAGAAACTACTGCTGTGACCGGTAATGTATGGAAAACAAGTAATATGTTGACACATTCTAAATTCTTATGTGAATTAGAAGAACATGAAGGAAGGTACTACATGTCTGTAGAAATACAGGATTCGCTACCCCAGCCTTTTAAAGGGTTAATAGATACTGGTTCACAAGCCACTATCTTATCCAATACCTACTTCCAGCAGGTAATGGACTTAGCAACGGATAAGCCGAAGCTAAGAGATTTCCCCAATGCTCTGTTGAGTGTAGGAGGAAATGCCCTTCATGTTATTGGCAATACCTGGTTAAAGTTTAAAATAGGTAACAAAACCTTTAGACACCCGGTAATAGTGGTAGATCTCCCCTATGACCGACTGATTCTGGGTATAGACATACTCAGAAGACTTAACACAATTATTGACTGTGTAAATGGAATTGTATGGTCACAAGCTAAGGTTCCCATAACCTATGAGAAATCACATGTTCAATCTGATCGTAACTGCCATGTGATAGAAGAAAGACCTGACTCAATAGAGGTACATTTTAGAAATAGTCAGTCACCTGACGTGACTATCCTGCAGGTGAATGATGCAATCGCACCTGTAGATGAGCATTCCATAAGAATTGCTCCAGAGAGGATCCAGAATGTCTCTCTGGAAGGTGATGTTTTAACCATTTCTCTCCACAGGGACTATGTCGAATCTGTAGATCTGGCAGGTCATGCTCAATTCCTTGCCAGAATTGAAAGGGTTAATAACAACTTATTCTTTCCTATTCAAATACATGACTTAGGAAGAAGTAGGAATGCAAAACTGGACTTACAGAGTGAGAACAGCTATATTAGCAGAAGTCTGTTAAAGCAGATCGCTAATCCTAAAATGATCAGGTACGCTTCCCCACATGACAGGTGGATCCAGAATCTGGATGGCGAATCAGAGAGTCACAATGTGATAGCAAAATGTTTACTATCTATTTCCATCGGAAATAAGACAGTTAAACATTTATTCCTAGTGATAGACGAACCTCGCTATCAGGTTTACGTTGGCAATGATGTCATACATCGCTTTGCCATACACCTTGACCTGATTAATTCCAACTTGTGGACAAGGTTAAAAGGTAATCCTTGTGGATACCTACACGAGGAAAACGCCTTGAAATCAGGACAAATACTCCCATATGCGGTAAGTATCCAAGTTCCTGATGACATAACCATTCCACAGGGGACAAGTAACTTTCTTTTACCCATACAGGTCAAGAAGGGTCAGAGATTAGAAAACTCTGATGCCCTAATCTGTTTATCCAACAGGATACAACAATTAGGGATGGTGGTAACACATACACCAATGGTAAGTATTGGTAAGAATCCCACCTATATCATGGTCAACAATGTTACACCCAATAGTGTTACTTTACCAAAAGGAACATTATTAGGTCTAGCATTGGATGCTGAGTACTATACATTTGGTTTCCAAAACCAAATTATAGGCCTCATCCCTGAAGAATACTTAACTGAGGACGAAATTGTCGATCAAATATTCCATTCCTCCCCAGAAGGATTATTCACTATCCTATCTGTATATCCCTTCAACGTCGAAGAAGGCTCGTGTAAAATCGAAGAAGCATCTATCACCTTCGATCATCCGCTCAATGAGCAGGAATCACAAGAGTATCACGACCAAAGAGAAAAGGTAAGTCAACACCGAACTGACCTAACTTCTAGGCTTGAAGAAGCTTATGAGATAGGCCAGCCTGAAATCTTTCCAGGATTTCAGGAAAGGCTAGAAGAGCAAATATCTTTAGCTGACGGTTGCTCCAACGATGCTGAGCGGCAACAGCTAAAGGAAATCCTTTTGGAATTCCAAGATATTTTTGCCAAAGATTCCTACGACTGTGGGTTAACTAACCTCCACGTAGCCAGAATACAAACTGATCCAAATTTACCACCTGTATTTATCAAACAGTATAGACTCCCATTAGCGTCATATGATGGTCTACAAGACATCATTCAGAATTTAAAGGAAAGGGGCATTATACGTCCAGTGCACAGTTCGTATAATAATCCGATCTTGGGGATTCTGAAACCTAATGGACAATGGCGTTTATGCGCTGACTTACGACAGCTAAATAAACGCGTCTATATGTCTGGTTGGCCAACACCATACATAGACCAATGTTTGGTACAAATGCAGGGATCCAAAATATTCACTGCCATTGACTGTGCGCAGGGATATTGGACTGTACCAGTCCATAATGAAGACCAATACAAATTGGCCTTCACATTTGGAAAGCAGCAGTATACCTGGACCCGTATGCCTTTCGGTTATATAAACTCTGGTCATGAATTCGCTGTGTTCATGCATAAAGCTATGCCTGACGCACTCGAGAGAGGAACGTTATCATATGTCGACGATGTCTTGCTGAAAAGCACTTCCTTTGATAAGCATATCTTAGAGATTAGACATGTTCTCACTCAGTTAAGAGAGGCAGGGATTAAACTGTCTTTACAAAAGGCGCAATGGTGTCGCACCCATGTCAATTTCCTCGGACATGAGGTAACTTCTGAAGGATTAAATCCCCAGAGGAAGAAGGTTGAAGCCGTACTAAAGGCTAAAACACCTTCAAACATCAGGGAATTAAGATCGTTCCTTGGTATGACTAACTACTCCCGTAAGTTTATAGATAACTATGCAGAAATAACTAAACCACTCTTACACCTGCTTAAAAAGGAAACTACCTGGAACTGGGGGGAGCCTCAGGACCAAGCGGTAAGTGAACTGAGGAGGAAGCTCACTCAGGCACCCTGTTTAGCATACCCAGAGGGGGGTAAACCCTTCTATCTGGAGACAGGATATACCGATTTAAGCATAAGTGCTGTTCTGTATCAGAAGCAGGACAGTTTAAACAAAGTTATTGCATATGCTAGCAAGACTTTGTCACCTGTTGAAGTTAAATTCAACACGTGTGAGAAGGCGTTATTGTCGACTGTCTGGGCACTACAAAATTTTCGTAGCTATATCCAAGGTGAGAAAATAATTGTAGAAACAGCTCACCAACCTCTACAGTATCTGCAGAGTGAAAGAATTAGAGACGGTAATCTCTCTAACAGTCGGATTACTGCATGGACTCTATCCTTACAGGGATGGCCGTTAGAAGTCCGTTATAAACATAATAAGAGAAGCCCAGTTGCCCAAGGTTTAGCAGAATTACATGACTGTACTGCTCCATCTCTGGATGATAATGACACCGGAGATGACTTCCTAGAAGAGCAATTGCTATCTCCTTATAAAGTTTATGACGAGGAATACTGTCGACCACTACCGTGGGTATACATTGATGGTTGTTCATATCACCACGTCGCTGGTGCTGAACGGAAGTTAGTTGCAGGTATCGGAATCGCCTGGACAGGTGATTATCCTAATGTATCTATAGGATACAATATTGGTCCCAAAAGCAGTCAGATAGCCGAACTCTGTGCAGTATATAAGACCATTCAAATGGCAATAGAATATGGTATCAAAGAATTTGTTATTATAACTGATTCCAACTATGTTCGCAACAGTTTCGTCGAATATCTGCCTAGCTGGAAACGTAACCAAATGCTGAAAAGCAATAACAAACCTGTTAAACATGGGAAATTGTTTTGTAAAATTGATGAGTTGGTTAAGGAAAATGGTTTAACCATATATTGGAAGAAAACCAAAGGCCATTCTAAAATAGAAGGTATTGACAAGGATGGTAATGACTTAGCCGATTCACTGGCAAAACAAGCTGCCATCAATGGTGAAACCCTAAACATTGATGATCTTATGGGTTCAATTCATGTTGAAGCCATAACTAGACGACAGGCTAGAGATAATGCCGACTTAAATGTCGTGCAATGGAGTCAAGAAGCTCCTAGTGATGACCTGATTACTAGTCAAAAGAATGATCCCGTCATAGGCATATTCTATAAACATATAGAAGACCCTACTGCCAATCCCATCACAGATGAGGATTGCAAAAATAATGAAGATTTACGAATCTTGATGAGATATAAAGTCCAATTTAGTATCATGGATGGGTTACTGGTCAGAACTTCTAAACATGGTATACAACAATGGGTAGTCCCAACTGTATACAGAGGGTTAATGCTCCAACACGCACATGATGCACCTACATCTGGGCATCGTGGTGATAAGATCACATATGAGATATTGCGTGATTATGCATATTGGCCACACATGTTAAGGGATGTTAAGACATACTGTCAGGGATGCTTGATTTGTCCGCAATATCAACCCCATGGTCCAACCCATCGTGCACCACTTCAGAAGAGGGGGGTGTCATTACCCTGGTCTGATATTCAAATTGACTTTATAGGTCCTGTAACAAGATCTTCAAGAGGTAACAAATACATGTTAACCGTTACATGTATGTACACAAAGTGGATAGAATGTTTGCCTTGTAAAGAGAACACGAGTACCGTGTGCGCCACTTTGTTGATTAACCATGTCTTTTCCAGGTTCGGTCTGCCTCAAAGAATTGAGTCAGACAGAGGTAGTCATTTTACCAGCGAAGTAATGGCTAAGATGTGGAACATTCTAGGTGTTAAACGAAAGCTACATATTGCATACCGCGCTGCGTCTAGCGGGGGGGTAGAGCGATATAACCAGTCTATCGTTAATATTCTAAAGAAATATGTTAAGGAGTCTGGTAAAGACTGGGACATTAAATTGCCCCTAGTTTTAATGGCGATTAGAGCTACACCTAGCACTGCTACCAAATTGTCACCTTTTGAATTGATGACAGGAAGAAAGATGGTTTTACCACAGCATTTACTATATCGTACTTCGGATCATAACTTGATCAATGCTGCCACTACGCATCAGTATATCGAAGATTTGCGCAAGCATTTACAGCATGCATTTGCTTTTGCCCAAAAGAATCTAGAAAAAGCAGCGACAGGGGTTAAGACCTATTACGATCTAAAAACCACGAAAAAGGAATATGAAATCACAGATCAAGTCTATCTGTATAACTTTGCGCGAAATCAAGTCAAGGAAAAGAAATTTTTACCTTCTTGGAAAGGGCCATATGTCATTATTGACAAAATTTCCCCAGTAGCGTACAAGATAAAAATTCCTAAGGATGGTGATTTTATTGAAAAGTGGGTTCACATTAACCAGTTGCGTGCTTGTCATCCTAAATCTCAATTAAGGATTATAGGTGTGGATTCAGACGCAGAAGGGTGAACGACTAACCTGGATGAATGCTTGATTCACGTGGTATAGTATGATGTGAAATGTTGTGATGTGCCATGATCTCATGTACGTTCATGTCATTAACCATTTCCTTGCCATCCAATAACTACATTTTAAAAGCAGGTTACTAGCTTGTTTAACTGCTATAGGCAAATTGCTGAAGAGTCAGTAATAAATGTAGTGAGGGATGAAGTTATAAAAATAGAATTAGACAGAATACATATGTTGATGAATCGTAATAATGTGTTGTCCTAGGCCAAGTGATGTCACACTGTTATAAGTTTGTATGCTTAACAAACCTTGAATCATTAGTAGATAAGTCTGAAACGAGTTCCTGATCCGTGACTGTCGAAAGATGTCCAAGAAGGATGTGGCGTGTTTCTGGATCGTACTGCTCCTGTGCCAAGAGCTACGGACCGACCCGATCGCAGAGATGGGACCATCCTCCGGCATCCTGATTCAAGAGACACCAGGGTTCATCTTAACAGAGAAGAGGACCAGATGTGTGTTCGTCAGCTTGGACCCCAAGATTTCCATCGAGAAGGCATACAACATTTCATCGATGCAGCTTCCTGAGTTACAGACTTGGTACCAGATGCACCTCCAAAGAGCACAGGACCGTGTGCGAAACATCTTGGAGCAAGCCCGGAAACCATTTGTATCCAGTTCTATTCCGATGAGCAACCGACCCAAAAGGTTCCTCACCGCTATAATTGTTGCATTAGTTTGTGCCACTGTCGGTGCAGTTGTCGCAACTGGAATGTCTGCAGCCAACTCTATTACTGTCCAAAAGCTGGATATGGAAATCTATGCGCTAAAGCAACACATTAACGATATTCATCAGGTGATACAACAGCAAAGAACACTTCTCCAAGACGTGTTAACTATTGTGGAAGACACAGTTGTTACAACAAATTTGCATTCAGAGTTAATTGCCAAATCCACTGAGTTGCACCAAAGTCATGACTTATTCAAGCGTGAACTTTATTTCTGCATGACCCAATATTGTTCCACACACTTGCTTTTCTTGACGAAGTGCAAACTGGAATGATCGAATTGGCAGGGGGACGCATACCTCTGTATTTTGTATCCAAGGATATTGTTCATGCGATGCTTGCCAATGTGGATGGAGAGACAATTGAGCCTATGCAATTAAATCTGGCCTTTGAGATGGGGAGCGCTATACCTCTCTTAATTGATCCGGAACGTATGGAGATTTGCTTTTTATTGGCCATACCATATGTAACTCCCAAAAACATTTTTCAAATGAAAACAATCTACAATGTCGGTACATGGAAGGAAAATATCCACGTAAAAGTCCAAACCCAGATGTTTTGGCTTTTCAACCATGGGTACCAGATTGGTATTCTATACCCATTTTGAATGACTGTGAGAAATTCAAAGACAATAATTTCCAATGTGATGGAAAACCTTTTGTGTACGATTCTACCAATGCTTTGTGTGGGATCGAGTACCTTAAACATGGCTCTGAAACATGTCAAGTAACTATGTCAAAACCGACAGTAATGCGTTAGTACATGCTATCTTAGTAAAAGATAAATGGTTGGTAAGCACGTGTCTTAAAAACATAAGTGTTTTTCGCAGGGACCAGGTGACTAATAAAGTAATTGCCTTACCAGCACCTGTCTCACTGATCAAGGTACCCCACGACTCTCGTATCACCATCGGTGACGTTACGCTATACCCAGTGTACACTGACGTCATCGAAAGTGCTATTGAGATGGTGGATCCCTTCCAGAATCTAGATATCCCTCTAGATCCTAATCTAAAATTCTTGCTGGACCACAAGCCCAACCACACTATCCAAATGTCAATCAGAAAAGATAACATTTCTGTGGATACATTTAAATACTCGGAGCTAGATACTGACCTTATTGCTCGTGTTGACTGGTTCATCCATGTTAAGATTTATTGGGTGTGCTATGATAATAATGATATTATGGTTGATTGTACTAAGTGTAAAGTTCAAAACTCTTACAGGTACAAATATATACAAAAATGTTCATTCCACGCACGGGCCTATGTTAGAAATGATGTGATTGCACAATATGTCTGGTAACTTCTATAGTGCTTATTCATAAGCTAAATTAATTTTGGCTATGAAATGCACTAAAGGGGGTTATGTCAGAGTATTTATATCGGCAGACATTTTGTGCTATGATAGAAACTAAAAGTGTATATTCTGAGTCACTCTGAACAGACCAGACTCCATTTTGTTATTTCAAGTTAACAAAAAGACACTATATTTCTATCTGTAAGCTAACCACTTTCCCAGATCTGAGGAATGCATAGTATATACAAACAAGTGATAAGGAAGGGGGTTGGATAGACTGTCTAAAATGCTAATGGAATATAATCAAATCTAAACCCAGACAATTGTGACAGAGAAGATTAAATAATTTAATATTTAACTGTCTATATATATAAGGTACCATTGTATGGAAAAGGGTAAACTTAGTTCATGATCTGTCATATCAGAAATTATGGCAGGAATTGCAGACGCTAAGTCTGGACAAAATTTAAGAAACCCTTTGAAATTTTAAATTATGGCGCTATAAAGATAGGCCAAAATGACGTCAAAATAGCCACCAGGAAAAGTTAACTCTTTCCTGGATAGGTATGTTTAGTGGGACAAGACTGCCCTCTACAGACCAAATAACTAATTTGCGATCTGGAAGATAACCACACCTCTAGTGCTTCTATTGGGTTATCAACTGATGACGTACAGAGAGTCTGGCCCTTTAAAAGTTAAGACAAAGGGAAGATAGATATACAAGACGAGAGGAGGCAGATGCAAGATATGCAAAGGAGAGAAAAGAGAGGAATTGGAAGTTTGGGGACTCCAACCTCCATGCAGAGACACATCCAAATAAATTCCTGAGACTACCAATCGGATGAAATATCTACTCAACTGGTAATTATACTGGTTTCATTTAATTAAATTAAATTAATTAAAATTATATTAATAGCATATATATATGACTGGATAAAGCACGGTCAGATTTCCATATTAAGAAATCTTAGTTAACTAAGAATATATAGTTATAAACATTCCATTCTGCAGGTGGAATTAAGAATAATTATATATTGATGTGATATTATCACGTGTTAGCATACCGCTGTTTTTATCCAGGTGTATTGATTTGCTCTAAATTAAGATAGATATCTTTTAGACAAATTAAAAATCTGCTTATATAATATATTAAATTCTCTTATGGATGGTTTAAGAAAATGACTAATGAACTGGTTTAAATGTTATTTTATTTAAAATACATAAGAATAGATCTTAACTACCTAGGAGATCTAGCCAGCATTGAAAGGGTTATTCTAACTGTCTGCTAAACTTTACGACCTTACGCTGCACTCTGAGGAATTCTGTTCTTCGCTGTGAAAAGTTTCACTTTCAGTCTGTGTGAAAGCTAGTCATAAATCGTAGAAGTCTTGACAGATAATGAGTTAATAGCCATTGAAACGTAATACCCATTCCTTTGTATTGCATACCATTTTATACTGGATATTCATTGATTATTGTTATGCATGTTACATAATATTATTTGTTAATTATTGATTATCATAAATAAAATCTATTTTTATACATTGTGATATTAATTATATGAAATACATTTCACTTACGATAAACGTTCTTTGGGATCTGAGAATTGAATTAGTGGGCAATTCTCACTGTTACTATTATTATCCCATAAATATCCCCACATTCTGCAGTGTTGTATGTGCAGCATTTCAAACTGAAACACTGCACAAATTGACCTC